TCTTTAGTGATGATTTGTGAGATTTTGGTATACCCATCACCCAAGCAGTATTATACTGCACTCAATTTGTGGTCTTTTATTCCTCACCCCCTTCCCATCCTTTCCCCAAGTCCCCAAAGTCCACTGTGTCATTCTTACGCTTCAACACTATTCCTATCAAACTACCAACACCATTTTTCCCAGAATTAGAAAAAAACTGTTCTTAAATTGTATGGAACAAGAAAATGGCACAAATATCCAAAGCAATCCTAAGCAAAAAGAATAAAGCTGGAAGCATCACATTACCCAATTTCAAACTATACTTTAAGGCTACAGTAACCAAAACAGCATGGTCCTGGTAAATAACAGATACACAGCCCAATGGAATAGAATAGAGAATCCAGTGAATAAAGCCACACACCTACAGCCATCTGATGATCTTTGACAAAGTTGACAAAAAATAATCAGTGAGGAAGAGACTCCTTCTTCAATAAATGGTGCTAGGATAGCTAGCTAGCTATATGTAGAACAATGAAACTGGACCCCTACCTTTCACTGTATACAAAAATCAACTCAAGATGGATTAAAGATTTAAATTTAAGACTTCAAACTATAAGAATCCTAGCTAGAAAAAAAAAAAATGAGGAAATGCCATTCTGGACATCTGCTTTGGGAAAGAATTTGTGACTAAATTATCAAAAGCAATTGTAACCAAAAAAATTGATAAGTGAGATAACTGATAATTAATCTAAAGAGCTTCTGTAAAACAAAAGACTCTACAGGCAACTCACAGAATAGAAGAAAATATCTGCAAACTATGTATCCTTACAGATTCTAGATATTAGACAAAGGTCTTTATCTTAACTTTGTCTAATATCCGGAATCTATAAGAAACTTAAACAACTCAACAAGTAAGAAACAAATAACCCCATTAAAAATTGGGCAAAAGACATGAAGAGATATTTCTCAAAAGAAGACATATAAGTAGCCAACAAACATATGAAGAATTGCTCAACATCACTAATTATCAGAGAAATGCAAAACAAAAACACAACGACATACAATCTCCTACCAGTCAGAACGGTTATTACTAAAAAGTCAAAAAACAACAAATGCTAGAGAGGTTGTAGACAAAGGGGAATGTTTATACATTGTTGGTGGGGATGTAAATTAGTTCAGTCACAGTGGAAAGCAGTTTGGAGATTTCTCAAAGAACTTAAAACTACCATTCAACCTAGAAATCCCATATAGCCAAACGAAAATAAATCATTCTACCAAAAATACACATGCATTTGTTTGCATGTTCATCACAGCACTATTCACAACAGCAAAGACATGGAATCAACCAAGGTGCCCATCAATGTATACCTGGTGAAATGGATAAAGAAAACATAGTACATATATACTATGGAATACTATGCAGCCACAGAAAAGAATAAAATCATGTCCCTGAAGCAACATAGATGCAACTGGAGGCCATTATTCTAAGTGAATTAACAAATTAGCAGAAAATCAAATACTGCATGTTCTCACTTATAAGTGGAGGCTAAACACTAGGTAATCATGGGCATAAAGATAGCAACTACAAATACTGGGGACTAATAGAGAAGGGAAGGAGGGAACAGGGCAAGGGCTGAAAAGCTAACTGCTGGGTACTATGCCCACTATTTAGGTGATGAGATCATTCGTATCCCAAACTTCAGCATCACACAATATACCTATGTAACAAACCTGACTGCGTACCCTCTGAATCTGAAATAAAAGTTGAAATTATAAGAAATAAAATAAAATCATAAATCTAATTAAATTATGTATATGCCATTGTATAAAGATTTTTAAAACCTGACCTCAGTTTTTGTGAAGATTTTGAAAATAGCAGACATTCCCAAACTTTTCTTGTCAGCAAAGAAAATGTAATACTTAGCATAATAAATATGCTAAGCATGATGCTGTTATATGACCGTAAGAATTTTTTAAACTCTCATATTCCAGAAAATTTTTTAAAATTTTAAATTTCTGGAACATATCTTGGTGGAAATATCATCATCAAGAGGGAAAAGACTATAGGCAAAAACTATATACAACACAAATGGTAAATTAAAGAGTCTATAGATCCATCAGAAATTCCAAATGCTAGAAAACTAAAACCTTCCCGATTTATATGAGGTAAATGTTTCACCTACTGTCAATTTCAGAAAGAAGTAAACACCATAACTGATATGAGACTAAGTCAAGAAAGAAATATTCTTAACCTTTTTTTCTAATCAATGTGTTACTTTGAATGACAATATCAAAGTACCAGAAAGAATAAGGAATCAATTCCTTTAAAGATTACTGGTGAAAAAATGACAGACAATTCACTGAAAGGAAAGCAATATATGGGGTTGGAAACATGTACAGTTAACATAATAAACATACCTACATATCTTTTCGGCTGATTTTTCAGAACAATTCAGAGAGAAGAGAAGAAATAAAAAGAACAAAGCAAAACAAAACAAGAGCTCAGAGCTCCAGGCAGTAAGAAAACAGACCTGATAGGAGATAGACATTAAGGTGCAGTTTAATCTATGTAATCTAAATATTAACTAAACACTAAATATTAACTAAACACTAAATATTAACTAAATATTAACACTAAATATCAACTAAACTCTCTCTCTCTCTCTCTCTCTCTCTTTCTCTCTCCCTCCGCCCCCCAGACTGGAGCGTGGTGGTGTAATCTTGGCTCACTACAACCTCCGCCTCCTGGGTTCAAGGGATTCTCCTGCCTCAGCCTCCTGAGTAGCTAGGACTACAAGCACCCGCCACCACGCCTGGCTAATTTTTTTTTTTTTTTTTTTTTTTGAGACGGAGTTTCGCTCTTGTTACCCAGGTTGGAGTGCAATGGCGCGATCTCGGCTCACCGCAACCTCCGCCTCCTGGGCTCAGGCAATTCTCCTGCCTCAGCCTCCTAAGTAGCTGGGATTACAGGCACGCACCACCATGCCCAGCTAACTTTTTGTATTTTAGTAGAGACGGGGTTTCACCTTGTTGAACAGGATGGTCTCGATCTCTTGACCTCGTGATCCACCCGCCTCGGCCTCCCAAAGTGCTGGGATTACAGGCTTGAGCCACCGTACCCGGCACGCCTGGCTAATTTTTGTATTTTCGGTAGAGATAGGGTTTCCCCATGTTGCCCAGGCTGTTGTCAAACTCCTGACCTCAGGCAATCTTCCCTGCCTCCCAAAATTTATGGATTACAGGTGTGAGCCACTGAGATGGCCTAAACACTAATAATTGAAACTTACAGAACTACAAGTCATAAATTGAATTAGGTATGATGTAGTAGATGGAAGATCAGAAGTCAGAAGGTCTGGGTCCAAGCCGTGATTCTGCCAGGAAACAGACTCTGAATCTTTGACAAGGCATTTAAACATTCAGGGTCTGGACTCTTAATCTAAAAAATGTACGTTTGAACAGATGATTTTGGGGATTTCTCTTAACTGTAAGATTTATAGACTCATTATTTATAACAGATGCCTTAAATTGGCACTTAGTGTTTCTTTTACTTCCTACTCTGACTTAAATGTTTGAAGGTTTGTAACAAGAAAGCGAAAATAAGAAAATATGTACCGTGCTGTTTAAATAAACTGTGGATTGCCAGGCAGGCACAGTGGCTCACAGTGTAATCCAGCACTTTGGGATGCTAAGGCAGGATGATCACTTAAGGTTGGGAGTTTGAGACCCACTTGGGCAACACAGCAAGACCTCAAGTCTTAAAACAACTTTTCTTTTGAATTAGCTGGGCATGGTGAAGTTCACCTGCAGTCACAGCTATCTCGTAGGCTAAAGCGGGAAAATCACTGAAGCCCGAGAGTTTAAGGTTACAGTGAGCTGTGATAATACCGCTATACTTCAGCCTGGGTGATGGAGCAAGGCCTGGCCTCAATCAATCAATAAAAAAGCAAGCAAACAAACTTTGTATGATCTATTAGAAGGAAGTTTATAAAAAGCCTAGATTTTCTCTCTTTCCTTTCTTTTTTGTTTCTTTCTTTTTTTTTTTTTTTTTTTTTGAGACAGAGTCTCTGTCTATTGCCCAGGCCCAAGTACAGTGGTGTGATCTCAGCTCACAGCAACCTCAACCTCCTGGGTTCAAGCAATTCTCGTGTCTCAGCTTCCCTAGTAGTTGGGATTACAGGTGCATGCCACCATGCCCAGATGATTTTGGTATTTTCAGTAGAGATAGGGTTTCGCCATATTAGCCAGGCTGTTCTCAAACTCCTGACCTCAAGTGATCCACCCACCTTGGCCTACCAAAGTGCTGGGATAACAGACATGAGCCACTTCACCTGACCAAAAAAGCCTAGGTATTTTTTTTAATTGCCTAGCCTACCATGATTTGTGTTTCATCAAGGTAGCACTGTGAAGAGTATGTCTGGTGTTTGGGGGAGAAATTTTAAAGTCCCTAAATAATAAACATTTCTGGTACAAAACCATCACTTAAGAGTAAGAATGCCACCTGAACACCAAGTTCTCTGGCAATGCTGAATGTGGAAGGGTTGTCACAGAGAAACCTTTAGCAGGTTATGTTGCTATTAACATAATAAAGTATAAACCTGTTTTGAAATAAACCTATTTAAATAATCACATAATTAACAAAATATACACCTCAAAGGCTTAATACACAACATAACCATCTAATAAGGTAATTAAGTCTAAATAAGTCTTACACCCTAGAAAGGTGAAACTGCTCAAGTCCCTATAGGAAAGGACAGCCCTATCATTCAACTTGCCAATAAACCTGCTTTCGTGATAGATCATTATGTTCCTGTGCAGATCAATTAGTAGCTGGGCATTGCATTGTTAGTAATAGATACTTAATAACCAGGTTTATAAATCAACTTATATTTAGCCTTATTTACCACTTTAAAAAAAACATAAATTTCACAGCCTGATTTACATTTGAGTCAAGAATTACACCTCCTAGGAAATACAAAGTTTAAACTAATGATCTTAGTGCAAAGGCTAATGGATAATCTTACCTGATGAAATAAGTATGCTCAAGCTTTCTATCTTGCCATACTGAGCAGCCACAAACAAAGGGGTGATGCCAAAGTCATCCTGGCATTCCTTGTTTGCTCCTTTGTTAAGAAGCAATTTTATGATCTCAGTATTTTCCTAAAGCACAGATTCACATTTTAAATAAGAAAAAACAAAGAAAACAGAAGGTATGTATCTTTTTTCTTATTGTATTTTCTGTTTTTCTTTTTTATCCTCTCACTAAACGATAACTTGAAGAAAAAAAACAAAACTGTGTACTGCTGTATTAGTTGGAAAGAAAGTGGTCAATCAGATTATCCTGTACTTCTAGTTAACTCAATAAACATAAACACGAAATATTGATCTCTAGAAATTACAATCCTTATAGAATCCTGCAAAATTAGCTTGCTAACCCAAGCACTAAGGAGCCATCACAATTTCTAAACACACTATTATAAATAAAATAAGCCATTGCTCTTTATCAATTTATATCTCAAATATTCTGATAGTTTCTTAAATATGCCATCAACATTTTTAAAATGTAGAAAATTCCTAAAGCCCAAAGCTGCTACAGCTACTACAGAAGTTGGCTTATTCAGAATCATCATTAGCATTTAGACTGCCTTTTCTGTACTGCACTAACCATCATAAATCACAGGCAAGCAGAAAGCAAAAACTGCATAGGACTGTTATTTTAAGAGGGTAAAACACACAATTTACATGGAAATGAAATAATAAATTCAGAGGTTACCTGAAAAGAAGCCTGGTGCAAGGAGTTCCATCCACACATAGAATGGGATCCATTAACACTTGCTCCATGTTGAAGCAACAGCCTTAACACATCTATGTGTCCATTTTCAACAGCTGCAATACAGCAGTCAGAAAAATTAATGTCAGCAGAAAGACATGTTTGTAGGACTGGACACTTTGGCGATGTTCTCATCAGTTATTCACCTCATAACCACAATGCCGTGATTATTCCTAAACATTTATCACAATTGTCTTAGCCCAAACCTATTAACATATACGAATTCTTTCTGAACACATACGAAATTATTTTAAACAACATGTTAAAAGACACAAAGGAACTGAAAGCAAGAAGCAAACGTTTATTCTCTCTGATCCTGGAAACAGCCTAGCTCCAGTTTGTTAAAATGAAATTGGGAGGATATAAGGTGAACAATTCAGAATCAACAGTACCAGTCTGAAAAGCAATCTCGAAACGATTGAAAGGTTTGTTGTTATTACATTTGATCACAAAATAAAAAGAGTCACTGACAAAATAAAAAAGCAAGTTCTGCATCTTAGATTTTTTAACATTATAAACCGTAAGTGTTGTCAAGATGTTCTTATATCCACCAATGAAAATATAGTAAATCTACCTGCTTATGTGACCTAAAAGAGGATTCCAGAAAACTAAAAAATGTTAAAGAGATGCAGATTATTTGCATAAAACTTTGCTATGAAGGTGGCACTAATTCTGGAGGAATTTAAGCACAGAGTTAATGAAAAACAGAATTGCCAGGATTATAAAGTGCTATATAAAATAAGTACAAACACACACACACACACACACACACACACACACACACACACACCATTAGCAAATTAGGTATACTGTGAATGTTGTAGGTGTGAAGCTGAGTAACTTCTTTATATTTTAAGTTTAGAAACTTAAAATTGAGAAATAGTATTTATAAAAATGGAAGGTAAGATGTGTATAAAGAAGGTCTGGCTTAATGTGCTTGGATATGGGAAAGAATATTTAGTTTGATTTCATGTCTTGGCTACTGTGAATGCTGCTGCAATAAACATGCGTGTGTGTATCTTTATGGTAGAATGATTCTATTCCTTTGGGTATATACCCAGTAACGAGATTACTGGGTCAAATGGCAGTTGTTTTTAGTTCTCTGAGGAATCGCCATACTGCTTTCCACAATGGTTGAATTAATGTACACTCCAACCAACAGTGTATACATGTTCCTTTTCATTCTCAACCTCGATAGCACCACTTATTTTTTTACTTTTTAATATTAGCCATTCTGATTGCTGTGAGGTGGCATCTCATTGTGGTTTTGATTCAGAGGGAAAAAAAATTGAAAAACAAGATTTCTTTTTTTCATTTCAATCATATAGTTATTCTGTATCTCCTCTACAGTAGGAGACAGGAACTGGGAATCAACAATTCTCAGTCACAAAATTAGAAAGGCACCTTTGGATAACAGATCACATTAGAAAATGCTAATACAGATGAAACAATGGGAATATAAAAATCCTTAAAAGTATAAAACAAGAAATGGTAAGTGTGCTCATTATTACTGAAGATAAGTAACATGCCATTGATTTTCTACTAGTTTTATATACTGAATTTATACCAAAGATTATTTCCCCTATAAGACTCTAAGAAGTTGTTTAATAAAACTATTGCAAAAATATCAATTCTCTCCCAAAACAATGTAAAAATTCAACGTGAGCCCAATCAAAATACCCAAAGGTGCTACGGGTATTGTTTTAATAGTTGGAAAAAAACGAAAGCAAAAACTGATTTATATACATGGTAATGTAAGGCACCAAATAAACCCAAAACAATCACGTAGAATAAAGCCAAGAGGACTCATACTCCAGATATGAAACTAATAAAGCTGAAATAATTAATGTAGCACAGTATTGGCACAGAATAGAGAAAAAGACTAATAAAACAACGGAAACTGCAGAAACAGACACCCCCAACAAATGGTCACTTTTATGACAAAGGTAAAAATGGTTTTGGGTCCACTGAATATCCATATGGGAAAAAAATCTTGGCTCCTGTCCCGCATAATACACAATAATCAATTTCAGATGGATTGGGAATTAAATTCCAGATTGGGTTTAGGAAGAACAAAGCTTCCAGAAAAAAAACATAAAGGAAAAATCTAAAACCTGATCTTGGAATTAAAAAAAAAAAAAAATTCAATCTTTATATTAAAAGCAATAAACATAAGGTAAATAGTGATAAATTAGACCATCTTAAAATTAAGAACTCCTTAAATCAATAAAAAGATAAATTATTTTTAAAACATGGGAAAATCTGTGCAGGCACTTCACAAAGGAGGATATGCAAATAGCTAATAAAATATATGGAAAAGTACTCACCTTCTCTTCATTCCCACTAGGGAAATGCTAATTAAAACCTCAATGAGCAAACACACCACCACCCACAAGAATATTTAAAACGGAAAACAGTAAATATTGGGCAGGGATGTGGAAAAAGTACAACTCTCATATCCTGGTGACAGCAACATAAATTAATAATAACCTTACAACTGGACTGGGGGCAGTGGCTCACACCTGTAATCCCAGCACTTTGGCAGATCAAGGCGGGCAGATCACCTGAGGTCAGGAGTTCCAGACCAGCCTTGGGACCGAATTGCGGATGATGGGCTCAGTCACTCCCCAACAGGATGTGACCTTCCAGGCCCTCGGTCCCTCACTCACCCAAGAATGGGGGAGAGCTTGTTTAAGTAAATCTCGGACCCCAAAGGGTTTTGCAGAAAGTGATTTATTGAGGAAGAGAGAGAGAAAAAGGAGCAAGAAATAAGAGAGGGACAGCGAGCCCCAACGCTGCTATGAGAGGAGATCCAGAAATGGAGTCTGCCCAGAGGTGGGAGAAGGGGACTTTTAACCTGGGAGATATTCCCGCCCCATTCAAGTTTTCAGTCTTATGAAAGGAGTTCCTTCAAAATGCCGCTGGAGTGATGGATCTTCGATTTCTGACATCTGATTTGTTCTTTGGCCCACAGTCCTCACATAGCTTTTCTGGGGCTTTCTAGACAAAGGAAGCTCCCCTGGGCAGTCTATCTTCCCCCGCATGCACAAAAGTTAAACAAAGACCTCTAGTCTCCCGGATGGAGAGGTAGGTGGAGGTATGGCGCTGGGAAGTTCTTGCCTTTGAAACCATGCCCCCTTGTGGACCTGAGGAGAGAATACATTCCCTCAACCTGACCAACAAACTGAAACCCAGTCTCTACTAAAAATACAAAATTAGCCAGGTGTGGTGGTGCATGCCTATAGTCCCAAGTACACCGAGGCACGAGAATCACTTCAGCCCAGGAAGTGGAGGTTGCAGTGAGCTGAGACGGTGCAACAGCAGTCTAGCCTGAGCAACCGAGCAAGACTCTCTCTCAAAAAAGAAAAAAAAGGCCGGGCGCGGTGGCTCAAGCCTGTAATCCCAGCACTTTGGGAGGCCGAGGCGGGTGGATCACGAGGTCAAAAGATCGAGACCATCCTGGTCAACATGGTGAAACCCCGTCTCTACTAAAAATACAAAAACTAGCTGGGCATGGTGGCATGTGCTTGTAATCCCAGCTACTCAGGAGGCTGAGGCAGGAGAATTGCCTGAACCCAGGAGGCGGAGGTTGCAGTGAGCCGAGATCGTGCCATTGTACTCCAGCCTGGGTGACAAGAGCAAAACTCCGTCTCGAAAAAAAAAATGTCCAAAAGAAGATACTGATGTCTCTTTTTAAGATTCCTCTCTAAATTGAGTAAGCTTCCTAGTTATACTTTTGGATATGACAAGATAATCCATCCAAAACAACCATAAGAGTGAATAAAATATATAAGACAACTAACTCAGGTATTAACCAACAGGCAGATGACTGTGATTCCTGAGAGAAGTGAAACACAAGACGTGAGCCTATGATCACTCCAGTTCTTTACCTGGGTACATTTACCAGTTATGGTACAGTGAGCTGAACGAACTCCAAGTAGAGCGATGATAACATTGGGGAAAGTATACTCCAACCATAGGAAAGAGGCTGAAGTCCAAGCAGAGTGCAGTAGTAAACTGAGGAGACAGAGATTAGAGCTTAAGTGGTCGAAATCTGCAGGTAAAGCCCCAGAGAAGAGAGAATTGTGCAGAGGGAAGGCCTCCATGTGGAAGTTCCCCAAGGGTCCTTGGTTGAAGTGTGGGTTGCACATGTGCAATGGAAGGCTAAGCCTAACAAAGAAAACCTGCTAAACTATTAAGAATGGAACAGAAATAATTAGAGGTCAAACACAACTGATGAGCAATGGAACTCCTAAGACTTCTTGCTGAGTCAGGGTGGTGAGACCATACTGTTCCAAAAGAATGGACATCAATCCTGGTACTTGTGAGAAGAAGGGGAAGGATGTCTCCAGGCTTTTGTGTATGTATGAAACTGTCCATGATGTTTTAAAAAAGAAAAAAAAACACTGCCACAAATTCTGAAGGGAATTTCAAAATGACAATTTCAAAAACATCTAAATATCTAAAATATTCCTAATGTATACAGAATATACCCTGAATTTTTAAAAACATCAGAATAAAAATTAAACTGAGCAGTCCTATTTACTCAGTAATATTTAAGTCACATTTTTTATATTAATTGAAAAATTACAAAGCCCAAAGCAGGCGTCCCCAAACTTTTTACACAGGGAGCCAGTTCACTGTCCCTCAGACCATTGGAGGGCCGCCACAAACTGTGCTCCTCTCACTGACCACCAATGAAAGAGGTGCCCCTTCCTGAAGTGCGGCGGGGGCCGGATAAATGGCCTCAGGGGGCCACATGCAGCCCGAGGGCCGTAGTTTGCGGACGCCTGGCCTAAAGAAACAGGGAGAGAGAGAAGAGACAAAGAATAGATAAATCCACAGCAGAATAATAGTAATTAGGACAGAACTAACCTTCACATACTTTCTACCTCTTGCGGTATTTATTACAGCCTACTTTGAATTCTGGTTATTATAATATCCTCAATTAAATGGTAAGCCCATGATATGAAGAACAAAGCCTAATACTGATAATCACCTAATCAATGGAGGATAATGAGAAAAATGCAGTTGTGACTTCTACCATCCTACTGAT